TACAGTTGTACCCAACTCCAGTTTTTATGTTTTTTCTTTCTGTATTCAACCCTCTTCTCTTGTTTCTCATATTTATCTGATAGTGAGCTCCTGTTTTCTACTTTATACTGTACGTGGATGCCAAAAACAATTTCGTCATCGGAGTCAACGTGAGGCACCACTGCAAGACATCAAGCAAAGCCATTAAACATCAATAGCAACTCTGAAACCAAATAATTAAAGTCAAAAACGATAAATAAACCAATTATCACAGTCTTCTGTATCAAAAACTACATTAAAATGTGATAAAGTAGAAAACAGGAGCTCACTATCAGATAAATATGAGAAACAAAGAGAAGAGGGTTGAATACAGAAAGAAAAAACATAAAAGCTGGAGTTCGGTACAACTGTAGCGCTACAGCTGTAGCGCGACGCTGTAGCGCTACAAGTCTGAACGCTGCCTAAGAGGGCAGGGACGCAGAGTAAGCCGTCCAGGGAAGTTAGAAGGTCTTACAAGAGTGGGGTGTAAGCTGTACACTGTGTTTTGTTGGTGTTTTATTGACTCATTATTGTGTGTTATCGATCGATAATATAGCTCGGCGTCGTGATATTGATCGGATTAACATTGTCTATTGCAGAATAAAGTTAAGAAGATGGAGAACCGCCGCGAGGGCGATGTTGATGAGAACAGTCCGCCTCAGGTTAGTGATCAAAGATTTGAGGTTAAGCGGATAACAGATGAGTTGGATAAGGTGGGAGATGAGGTTAAGCAGTTACCGTTACGGGTTGAAGAGGAGCTATCGGAGGCACGTATAGCCGGGAAGTATAGAAACCAGTTGATGGAAATTTTGTACAGCCATACTAGCCGGGCATGTACAATGTTGGAGGACATAAGAGCGAGTGTGGTAGGGCATGAGATGTTTGGCAAGGACCTGTTGCAGACGCTTCAGGATAAGGGGATAGAAAGTATGGAGGATCTGAATGAGTATATTAGTGTGACAGAAAGGGATGGTGAATTACTAGCAGTAATATGTATGTGACATGTTTCAGACAGATGTCGCGCACATAGTACTCTGCGAGATCCAGGCTTCGAGGAGGAACATTACGAAGCAGCAAGGAGCTCAATGAAGATGAAGAAAAGATGGACACCGAGCACGATGAAGGTCGGTCAAGGAATAGGAGTAATAGGATAGCTCGTTCATCAGACAGATAATGTGTTCAGAGCCATCCTGGGAGAAGTCGGACGTCACCGATTGGAGCAGCTTACGCGCCAGCCTCGAGGCAGCATTCGGAGATATCGGGACGACAAAACGGCACATCAGGTCAGGATGCCTTAAACTTTATGGCATACATTCAAGCCAATGCATGCATAAGCCCTGGGATATTCAAGGGGAATAAGGGCGACAATTTTGAAGAATTCATAAGACGAAGGTAAGGTTTA